AAAAAAAAAAAAAAAAAATCTGAACATACGTGCTTCCTCCACCTGCCATATGGCAGCACAGCGAACAAAGCTAACAGTCATGATTTACGTCACTTCTCAGCCCTCAGCTATGCTTAACATGTACTGCTTGCTTGGATCAGACCAGAAAAGCCAGAGCTTCAGAAATACCATTGTCAGCCAAGCGTGGTGGTTCACACTTGTAATCCCAGCACGAAGGAGGTTGAGGCAGGATTGCCATGAATTTGAGGGTGGCCTGGGCTGCATAGTGAACTCAAGGCCAGCCTGAACTACATAGCGAGACCCTGTCTCCAAAAAAAGAAAAAAAGTAGATGAATGTAGCCAGCTGTGGCAGTGTACATTTGCCAGCTATTCAGGGGGCTATTGCTGGAGAATTATAAATTCAAGGGTATCTAGGAAACTTATAATAAAAAGAGCTGGAGATATAGTGGCAAGGCCCTTGGTTAAATCACCAGTACTACAATATAACAACAACCAAAAAAACCCCTTTGATATGGCAATGTTATATTCTGACCTAAAATAACAATAATTGATTGGCCTTTTTTTCTTTTTAAGGCATTTTGAGATAAGGTCTTACTCTAATTCAGGCTGGACTTACTATATAGTCTAGGGTGGCCTCGAACTCAACAGCAATCCTCCTGTCCTAGCCTCCTAAATGCTGAGATTAGAGGGATGCACCACCACACCCAGCATAGTTGTAGTTTTAAGGAGAATTTAATTTCTGTTTTCATGACTCCATATAAATATCTTGTTAAGGGTTGGTTGTGGTTTTTTTTTGGGGGGGGGAGGGTTTGTGTTTTTTTTTTTCCTTTTTGTTTTTCCTTCTTTCTTTCTTTCTTTTTTTTTTTTTTAGTACCAGGAATTGCACTCAGGATCTTGCACTTGCCAGGCAGGCACTTGTGCCACTGAGCTATATCCCCAACCCTGTTTTTCTTTTTTTCATTTTGTGTTTTAAAACAATTGTATGTATCTTTTTTGAGCTGATTTTGGGTAGGGTAGTTCTTCCCTAACAAACCTGACAATGTATGTCTTTGTAATTGAATTGTTTAGAACAACTAATTATCAATCAATAAATAAAATTTGTGTGTTTTTCTCATTAGTATTGATTGTGCAGGTATTTTGAAACTCCGCAACTCAGATATAGAACTTCGAAAAGGAGAAACCGATATTGGCAGAAAGAATACTAGAGTACGACTTGTATTTCGTGTACACATCCCACAGCCCAGTGGAAAAGTTCTTTCTCTGCAGATAGCTTCTATACCTGTTGAGTGCTGTAAGTAAATGTGTGAAATGTTTCCACAGTTTATTTGAAATCGTTTATTTTGTTTGTGATGAAATGTGTGCATTAGAAGTAGAACCTGAAGCCCAGTGTGGCGTGCGTGCCTGTAATCTCAGCACCATGGGAGGCTGAGGCAAAAGGACTGCAAATTTGTGCCCAACACAAGCACCTTAGCAATTTACCAAGACCGTGTCTCAAAAATTTAAATTAAAAAAGGGAGGCTGGGCCCAGTGCTGGGGGTGTAGAGTATTAGCTGAGGGCTGAGATTGCTTGCCAAGGAGGGATGAGGTCCTAGGTTCAATCCCCAATAGTGCCCTGACCCCAGAAAAAAGTGTAAACTCAGGCCTAGGGTCTGGATTTTCGGTTTGCTTTTCTCATATGGAAATGAGGCAACATGAATATAAAAGGGGGGCTGGGGATATAGCTCAGTGGCATAAGTTCCTGCCTGGCAAGCGCAAGGTCGTGAGATCGATCCCTGGTACTGCAAAAAAAAAAAAAAAGAAAGAAAGAAAGAAACTTAAAAGGGTTAGGCATGAATACTTGCTTAGCCCTAGTTTTGATACCCCCGTTGCTCACCTCCAAAAAAGAATGTAAAATGAAAAGTAAAGTTCCAAGTCAACCAGTTCTTCTTAGAAGCACCTTATTACCAGCTTCTTAATTATCCTGCCAGAGTGTTCTATAGCTATATAGGCATGTGTCTATATTTTTTTAAGCAAAGTAATTAAGTTTAGAGTAGTTTGAGTTTTTGAGATGAAATTATTCTAAAATGATTTTCTTAATTTTTTTTTAAGTACTAAGGATTTAACCTAGGGGCTTGTACATGCCAAGGAAGCACTCTACCAAATAAGGAAGGTCTGGGACTGGTTCTGCATATCTGTAATCCCAGCACTTGGGAGGCTGAGACAAGAGGATCACCGTAATTTTGAGGCCAGCCTAACCTACATAGTGAGTTTAAGGCCAGCCTGAACTGCATAGCAAGACCTGGTCTCAGGAAACCCAAAAAAAGACAAGGAAGGTCTCACTAACCTCAAATTTATAACCTGCCTATCTCATCCTCTCTAGTAGCTGGGATTAGAGATGTGCGCCACCATGCCAAGTTGATTTTAATTTTTTTGTTCATGACATAAATTAATACTTGATTATTATTGCAAATATAGAAAATTAGTATAATAGAGTTACTTTAATTTCTTCTGTACCATTCCCCAGAGATAGTCACATTTAACCTTTTGTTCAGTACATGTTTGCAGTACATAGTGTTTACATTCCTAGTGTGGAGTTGGTACCTGTGCATAATACATCTTAATTCCTTTCTTCATGTTCTTTCCCTCCCTTCTTCCCTCCCTCTCTCCCTCTCTATCCCTTTCTTTTTTTTCTTTTGGTGGTGGGAATCAAACTCAGGACCTTGTGCTTGTTAGACAGGTGCTTGTGCCACTGAGCTATATCCCCAGCCCTTCTAAGCCTTTCTCATTTGAAAAAGATTTTTCTCCCTACTTCCTATTGTCTATCATGTATTTTGCTCTTTATTTGTGTATTTTGTGTTTCTTATATAAGAAAAACCATGTTTTTTAAGCTTTTATGTCTTTTATTTTATTTAACATTATAGTCTCAAGGTGCATCCATTTTCCTACAAATGACTCAAGTTTATCTCTTCTTTATGGCAGAATAGTTCTCCCATTGTTTGTAAATAACACATTTTCTTTATCCATTCATCTGTTGAAGGACATATAGGCTGCTTTCAAGATTGAGCTATTATGAATTGTGCTGCTGTAAACATGGGTGTGCATCTGTCACTGTAATATGATGCCTTTAACTGTTCAGGGATATCTAGAAGGGCAATAGCTGGGTCAAATGGAATTTCTAGTTGTAATTTTTTATGGCATCTGTACACTGATTTCCATAGTGGTTGTAGTCATTTATCTTACTGCCAACAATGTACTGTAGAAGGGTTCTTTCACCACAGAGCCTTTCTAGCATTTGTTATTATTTGATTTCTTGATGATGCCCATTGTGTCTGGGGTAAGATGGAATCTTAGTGTTGTTTTAATTTGCCTTTCTCTACTGGCCAACAATTTTGAACATTTTTTTCATGTGTTTATTGGCCATTTGTACTTTTGTGAAGTGTCTATTTCACTTGTCCATTGTTCTGATTGGGTCTTTCAGTTTGAGGGATCTTGCCGGGGATATAGCTCAATGGCATAAGCACTTGCCTGGCAAACCTGAATTCATGAGGGGCTGGGGATTTAGCTCAGCGGCAAAGCGCCTGCCTGGCAAGCGCAAGGTCGTGAGTTCGGTTCCCGGTACCGGAGAAAAACCAAA